AATAAAAACAGCAACTGGAAAATCCCACACACACAGATGCTGAGCCTCAAATTGCAATTCCCATTGCCATTTCTTCTTTTTCTCTGGTTACACGCAGCATCTCCCTCTCCCTCTTTTTGTCTTTCCATCTCTTTCCCTGAGTAAAGTGGCCAGTTTCGGATTTATTCCGCAGATACACTGAGAAAAAAAATGTATTAAGATTATGGAAAATTATTTATATATACGAATACTTAGTTTGTGAAACAAAAAGCATACCCCGAAAAAATATTTTTGTAATATAAAAGTAATAATTAAAATAATATACACACATATTCTTTTAAAGCGGATACCTTTAACTTTTTGTTCTGGACTAAATTCCCAATTAAAATTACAAGATTAGGTTTTCTATATTTCCCGGAGCATCACGATTAATCTAATGTATCTTGAAGATACATTACTTTCGGCCTATCAACAAGGGCTTGTTTCTGACCTTTAAAATTTTTTTTTTTCAAAAACCATAAATTAATATTGGCTTAATTTTTCCTTGTGCACACCTTTACCACCCCCTTAAATCGCCACCCCTGGCCGGCAATTCAGAACAAGTTGCAAGTCGCCGCCGCATCGCTAACAAAGCCACTCGACAACTGCAAAAATGTGGCCAGTCGAAGTGTTGATGATGGAAGGGGGGTTTTCCCTCTTTTTTTCCGAAGGGGGTTTCTGTTTTTATTGGGGGGAGGGGTCGCTGGCGGTGGTGATGCTGCTGCAGAAGAGAGAGCTGCAGATTGGCTAACTGGCAATTTGAAGACTCGGGCAAGGCGACCAGTTGCAGAACTGCTTCTGATGCTGGATGCCGAATGTCGAATGCTGCCTTCTCGCATGACAAGTGGCCCGCAACTAAATCGTTGCAACAGCAACAAGTACACTACAAAAAAATATGTTTAAAAATATTAAGATTGCTAAATCCGTAAATGGTTAGCCAATCTTTTTAAGCAAAGCAATAGTTCAATTCCAGCGTCTCTTAAAAAACTTTGTTCATGTCTGATAAGTTTTATTTAATATTTTACAAAATAATTTAAGCTTTATAAAACTTCATTAATTAATTTTTTTAAAAACTAAAATTGTAAAAACATATTTTTAATTCAATTAAATTGTCCCTGCTTTAAGTTAAAGTATTTTTTAAAATTAGTTAATAAATTTAAAGTCTACTTTCAACGTCATTTTTAAAAAACACTTGGTTGATTGATAAATATAAAAATAAAATTGTGTTATTAATTGTTAGATAAAATAATTAAATATTTATTATTTTGTTTTCCTGCAAAAAAAAACCATACATTTAAAAAAAATCCAATTCAGATCGCCTCTTCCTTAAATTACAGAATGGGTATCTTTAAATAGAATAAAATAAACGCGAATGTAGTACATTCAATGCAAAAATGCAAAGATTATAGATTTTTCCCAATCGATTTTTCCTTTGATCTCACTCTTGCAAAAACAATTTTTTATCTAGAGTGTAGAGCAGCAGCAGCTGTAAAACGAGCTTTGGTAGAAAGACGCAGGCCAAGAAGACCCGGCTTCCTTTTGCTCAGTTTTTCCTGCACGGGTTTTTCTTTATTTTGCCCCAGCTCTTTTGTGCATTTCAATTTATTGCCCCAGAACAACAATTCAAGAGTTTTGTGTGCAAGCACCCACCCACCCAGAAATCTGCTCCCCCAAAAAACAAACTGGCCTCCTTGCCTGAAGTGAAATTGTTTTGGTTAAAAATAACATTTGATGCTAGCAATTGAAATTATGCGTATGCCCTGGTGCAAAAATATTTCGCATGCAGCGCCATCTGTTGTCGGAGTGACCTGAATTTTGGAGTGATGTGGTGCTACGGTTCTAGTTGGCTTTACAAAATGTTTTTATGCAGTGTTTCTCCTTAGCTTGTATGATGTGCTTGTAAATATAGAAATATTGCAAATGTTTCAGGTTCTTCGGGGAAAATCAGGGCTTTCATGTATTTATAAGGGTATACATTTCACTTTAACTTGCATCTACTCACAGATACCACAAAATTCCAGTAAATGGCTATTAAATTCGCCTTTTACAATCTTCTCTGATTGGTTTTCATCCCATCATTTTGTCTAATCAATTCTACTGAATCTCCATTCGAATAACTAACTGCTTAATTGCACATCTATGAACCTGGCGATGTACACTGCATTATAAGCCGAAATTAATGAGGTACACAATACAGCCAACTCAAAGGAGGTAAACAATGCAGGGCAAAGACAAAGACTCCTCCAATTTCCAGCTATTAGTTGCCAGGGAACAGGTTGCTTTGGCGCTGGACCAAAAATGCCCAAATTCCGATGGTGATTCAATCAATAGAGGCGAAACACGTGAACTTTGAACTGACCTAGCCCACAAAAAGCCAGAGAGAAAACGGTAGAAGTGCGGCGAGAAGTCGAGAAAAGGGAAACGAATCGAATCGAATTGAAAACGGTGCACGAAAAGTGCAACAAGAGGCATGCAACAAGGGAAAGGTAAACACACGAGCGAAAAGATTCAAAGATACAATTGGGGACAAAATAGTAGTAAACAAACAAATAAACTAAAAGCTATTCAATTTGTAAGGAAAATATAAATACTTTTTCAACTTAAAAACATTTTTATAAATTCTTAAAAATATAAAACATTTTTTTTTTATTAAGAAGTAAACCTTAAAAAATATTTAAAATTTTCTAAATTTAAAAGAAAATATAAAAATGTTCTTTTTAGTAGTAAGTAAAACAAAAAAAATATATTTACCAAAATATATTTGTAAGATACTAGTATATTCATTATTTGTATTTGAAAGTCTTGTCTTTAAAAGAAAGGCACTACTTTTTGCACTACTACTATGTCTTGACCCCCTCTATATATCTCAGATACATTTGGGCCATTTTTGGCGTGGCACTCGAGAGGCTGTTGGAGGCGGGTGGAGTAATCAAAAAAAAGGCAATACTATTTGTCTACATATATACATATTGATTTACGCAACGATATACGGAGCTTTTTGTGTGAAAGATACAATGCTGCTGAAATATTGAAATCAATTGCAGGTTTATTTTTCGGGTTTTTTAAGCGTTTTACTGCCTTTTTTCCTTCGTTTTCTTTTTTTTTTTGATTAATTGGCAATGGCCAATGCAAATGCTGTTGGCCTTTTGGCTGGGGCACAGATACAGATGCAGATATACACAGCCACAGATACAGTTGCATTGTCAACGTTCCAAAACAGCCCCAGCAGCGTATGGCATACAATTTAAAAATGTATCCAAGAGATACATTACACATTACTGCCATGGCTTGCCAAGTCTTGACTTGGAATTTCCCTTCACTGCATTCTTTCCCACACCAGAGCCAGACAAAAGAGCAGAGATACATACATACATACATACATATATATCTATGTATATATGTAGAGGTGGATTTCGGTGGGTTTGGGGGCGCTATATAGATACTTTTCGGGCCTTTGGTCTCTGCTAGTTTTGGTTAGTTGACTGCAGGGCTTACAAGACACCCCACTCCGTATCTCTATCTGGTTCTCAGACTAAGACTGAGTCGTCGCCGTAGTCATTCGCATTGTCGTAAATTTTATTAGAGTGTAGTGTAGCATCGTCATTATGATCATCCTCACCATCATCATCATCATCATCGTGTTCATGATGATGCGACCTAACACAATTCTTACTTAGTTTGCATTTTAGCTTATGGCTTTTGTGTTTTACTCGCTCCGACAAAAAACAAAAAAAAGAAGCGAAAAAAATACATACAACCATAAAACGTTTCGCATTTCAAAGGCCACACATTATTATTATTTTCAGCTATTACTTTGGGGTATTTCTCAAAAGTTTTCAATTTATTTTTGTGTGGAAAACTGATACGACTCTGACTTGACGCTCTGAGTTATTGCCTTAACATAAATGCCTGTGCTCAAAGTGTCCAATTACTTTTCATTTTTGGTTTTCGCTTTGTCAAAGTTCAAAATGTTATCACTCAAGAAACCGAAAATCTTGTTTATGGGCTTTTGTCTTGGGTCTCCTTGGGGGTTATCAATAAGCATTTATGCTGCGGCTGAGTTTTTCAGAACGGGACCTCAGCTTTAAATATAGATTTTTGTGGTCATCCAAAGGTTGCTTTGTGTTTAGTTCAGTTTTTATATTTCCATTTTTCACAGCATATGCAGTGAATAAATGTTTTTTATTTTTGAATAAGTCAATATTATGAGTAAACTAAAAACCTATGGACTTTAATACATTTCTGTATCTGTAGTTCTGAGTTTTTGTAGTATACTTATAAGTGTAGTAATTTAAAATTAAATATTTCCAAATTAGTGAGGGCTCTTTAAAAAATAGTCATCTATGCAATAATTAGCTTTTCCCCGAAAATGGGATTATTCGATTGCCAGTTTCTAGTTAAAATCCCAAATTTCATTAATTTTTCACCAGAAATGCAAATTTTAGGAGTAAAATTCAGCAAATCGTGATTTTCCGAACAAAAATCAAAGAATACAAATATATAATGAACAACTGTTGCAGAAGTTTTCAAATTTTGGGCAACATAATGCAATTAAAAATAATTGCACAGCGAAAACTAGTTCAGAAAATCAATTTGAAAATGGTTGAAACTAGGAATGCAAATGCTATGCAAAACCGGGAAATCACACAAATTTTGCCAACTCAAATAATAGCTTTTGAGATATTTCTTAAGAGAGCGTGCTCTTTGACTGGTAAACTCTCTTTTATTTTTATAAAACAAAAAAAAAACAAACAAAAAATGCACTGAGAGGAATGCCGGTTTTTGGGCGAGAATGTGTGAGTGCCCGAGTCGTATCTGTGTGCTTACTACGCTGCGGTGACGGTCGTTCGTTCGCTTTTGTATCTCTCAGATAAATCGCTCTTACCCGCCTGTGTGTAGTAAATATTCCGCTCAGCTGTGCTGCGGGTCTATATGGTTTTTTTGTTGTTTTTCTTTTTCCCCCTCCCCCCTATCGTACTTACTCGCCCAACAACAAATGACATATGCGGGGCCCCTGAGCGAAAAGTATCTTCCAGTACCGCCTTCCAGTTTTGAGATACTATTCGGGTTCCAATGAGAACGGACTTCGGGCTTCGCGCGAGTCGTGCGCCGATTCGTATCGGCGGCTGCTGGCAGTCCGATATTAACTCTCAAACTGTACGGTTTGGCAGCGCAGCTGAGAAGCGGAAAACTGAAGTGGAAAAGCGGCGAAGAGGGGATCGAGGAAGGGCAGCGCGTCGTGTGTTTTCATCCTCCTAAACAATTGTTGTTTCTACAAGTTTAAACAATTAAAAGTGAGTGTGGAAAAGGTGCTGCAAAAATAGAAAAAAATCGAAAAAAAATCGAGTTTGAACCGCATCCTACAAATTAAATTTAAATAAAACTCCTATTTAAAAAGTCAAACATTTAAAAAACCAAACTAAAAAAAAACTCAAAACAATAAACTTAATTTAAATAACTAAAAATAAGACAACTTTATAGCTATTTCGCCTGACATCCTGTTCTTTTGTGCAAAAAAAAGATACTTCATAATAATCAAAAAAACATAACAATCGCCATAATCATAAATAATAACAACAATTTCGTGTGACGTTTTAGTTAATGTTCATAAAAAAGAGAATGAAAAAGGAAAATAAACAACAAACAAAAACCAACCACTTTTTCAATTGTAATTTCCGGTGTAGCGGAATTTCACTGTGCATTGTGTGGCACTGCGTGTGTGTGTGTGTGTAAGCGAGTGTGGGAGAGAGAATCAAGAAGGAAAAGAAAGAAAATCAGAAAAAAACATAAACAGCCCAGAACAACGTGCTCGTTTCTGTGTGTGTGTGTGTGTGAATAAGAAAACTGAGCCCTATAAAATAATAAAAAGAAAACAGTCCTAAGAAAAGTGCAAAAATGGCCTTTGGTTTATTGAATTTATAGTCCTCTTTTGTCTCTTTTTTGGCCCACATTGAGGTTACATAAAGATCCGCAAAAAGGAAACTAAACATATATATTCCGACCCTCATTTTGGGGTCATCATAAAAAATGTTTAAAAATATTATTATCCAAACAACTTTGTCTAGCATTGTTTATGCTTTGTCTGTTTGTTGGCAGATACTTTTTTGCTGGGCAGTTTAAACAAATTCTAAAATAGTGTGCAAAAATTTAATGGACCATTTAAAATGCTAAGATATGTACTTAAAACTTTAGTTAGCTACCTAGTGTTTGGTAATTAATACATTGCAGTTTCTAGTCAGCTAGCTGCATTGCTCAACGTTTTCTGAGAATTCTAGCTTAGCAAAAAACAAATATTTCAAGGGAATTCTCAGAAGAGTTTAAACGCTCAATAGCTTTCTTTATGATGTTTGCACTTGATATTTTTCTATAGAAACAGGAAATCATTTAAATTTATATTTCTGCCCCTTCTTCATATTTAATTTTTCCCTTTTCAACTTTGATTACCTGCTAAGCTTCTCAGTTGCAACCAATTACCGATTGGGCTGCCAATAATCCGTAACAAACTTCAACTGTAATTGGCTTATCAAAGTTTGCGTACAAGAATTATAAACCCAAACTGACCTAACCCAATCTCAAGTTGACTGCAGGCAAATATTTGCCTGTGACTGCAGAACTTAAACTATGTTATCTTGCAGATACTTTAACTAAGCTGCCCATCAATTTTGAAAAGCAAACTTTTCACCGTCCAGAAACTTCAAGGCCGCAAAACTTTGATTAAACATAAGCCAATTCGAAGGAAAATAAAGTGCAAAAAAGGTCAAAGACAGACGGAGATAGAAAGAGAGTTTTCCACTCCCCCAACTGTCAGCTAATTAACATGGAAAATTTCACCAAAATATATCGTTTGCTCGTGGCGAACTTTTTGGATTCCTTTTTGGGTGGGGGCGGCGCCATAAGTTTCCAGAATTTATAGAGTCGAAAGCTTTCTATCGATAGATAAATATGGCGAGCCAGAAACAGATACAAGTACTTGTAGATACAAAGAAGCAGCCGCAAACAAACAGCACTCCCGAATATAATAAACAATACAAAATTAGTTACTTGCTGCTATCGAATTATAAACAAGCGATTGCCCCGTAACCTCAATTTGGATCGGGAATGGGAAAACATATACCTAATGCATCATTTTATTTTTCAGTCTGTGTGTGTGGGCTAAAGTGCAATACCCAAATCGAACACTAAGGCATTCCAATTAAACTAACAATCAAAGTGCAATACAAATAAATCCAGCTAAAAATCGGCGAGAATATTTACAGAAGCTGTGTTCATAAATAGATTTGCCCAAACAACGCAAAACAAACCAATAAAAGCAAATCGAATTAACTATTTTGTCAGCCAGACCATTAAATACATATAACAACAACTACGAATAAACTTAATAAGCATTTAAAATAACAATAACAATTTTGTGCAATTTAATTAAATTAATATAATCGTATACAAAAATTAAAAGCCTTCAAAAGGTTTTACACATTTTTGCTAAATACTTTTGCGCTAAATCAAAAATAAAACTAAACACTTTATAAACTACAATTAGCTAAATTGTTATAAAATAAAATTTATAGAATTACAATACATTTTAAAAAGCGCCAAGGTTTTTTAAAAATTATTAAATTGCTATACAAATATAAAAACAACTTTAAATGCATATTGCTGAGACGGATTACGTTTAAAATACTAGCTGCAGATTTTTCAACTTTGTAAGTATGAGTAAATAAATAAAAAAAATATTTAAAGCCTATAAATACTTGATTAAACCAAAAACGTTATATCTTTCCTGTGCCTGGGAGTCTTTTAATTAAAATTCAATGAAGCTTAGACCGACTTATGCAAATTGTTGACCCATTTTATAGTTTATTAAATTGAAAATAGTTGCCTGTCTTACCAGGTTTCGTTTTTAAGTGGGTCATCAAATTTTCACTTGTTTACCAAGGAGATTAAACTTTTTATTAAAAGAAATAGACAGATACTTCTACTATATATACATTTTTATAGTGAACCCCCTTGTTATCTGAGTGCTTTTCACATAAGAGGCTTACTAGACAAACAAAATCCCCATCAAATAAATTTAACTCAATTGCCCAAACATTCCCCAATGGCTGAGCGTTGATTGTAGATTGTTGATGATGATGATGTCGTTATTTTTTCTGTTTGTTGTTTTTGCTGAGGCTTACGTGTAAACTTTTATCTGCACTTAGATTTTTGACATACAAATTTATTGTTTATGCCCCTTGATAGCAAAAAAAAAAAAAAAAGAACATGCAATTTTGTAATTATTAATTTTACGGTCTGTTTGAGTTTAACTACACCACACTATACGTGTGAATTTGAAGAGTTTGTTTGGGGCAAAACGATGGAAAGAGTTCCCTGCAAAAGTGCAGCGCCTAACTGTTGATCATTTCCGCTCGGTTTTGGCCAAAAAAAACTGTCCAAGTGTGTCGGCGAAGGTCGGTGAACTTATTTTTTTTACCGGCCCAAGTTGCGTGTTTGTTTAGGCCCGAAAATCCCACCGTCGCTTTATTGCGGTTATTGACTTTCTCAACTCATTCCGCTTCTTGGTCTTCATCTCTTTTATCTGTTTGGCCCACACGCACACACACTTGTCCATCTCAGCGTTCTGGGCCTAATTTCCTTTTCAGTTTTTTTTTTCAGGGTGTGTTCGCCACATCAATTCAAAAAAATAAAGAAACAAAAATTAACATAATCAAATTTACTTTTTTTGCATCGCGAACACGTTTTGTGGCCGAAATAAGAAAAAGTGAAGACCATTATTTAATTTTCGTGTCAGTCGGCGCAATGCTCCAGCGATTGGCATTGAAGAACTGACAAGCTGAGGGTTATTTTCACCTGCCAATTGGTTTGACAGGGTGAGCTCTATAGTGGTCTATAAACAGAATATGCCACGAGTGCCGATTGAAAAGGGCTTGTTCTACGCTTTACAGCCAGTAATTGTCTGGGTTTTATGATTGAGAAGGTCGTATTTAATGTTCAAAATCTTGGGATAGGTTTTTCACAGACATATTAATCTTATAATGAATATTTACATTAAATCAAATCAACAGATTTGCTAGAGGCCAAGGCTTTTTTGAATTGAAACTTAATTACATACCTGATCATGACTGGTTTATATCTAATATTTTTCCTATAGGTTGATAAAGAAAAATGTCTATCTATAAAGGATTTAAAGTGATTTTGAGTTGAACACTTTTTATGATTTTTTTTTCCATTTCACTTGTTCTCTATTTATTAGATTGTAGAAGCTTCAAGATTTTTTTTCATTTTTAAAAAATATTTTAATAATGAAGTATTTAATATAAATCATAAAACAAATACTGAAACAATTTTATACTAAATTTACCATTTAATATGTAAATATCGGCTGGCCTTTACTTATTTGCCAATTTTTCCAAACCCAATTTACTGATACACAATGCCCTTGTGGTTGAGGCCTTCCAACAATTTTTTGGCTACTCTTGAAATTCAAAATTTAAGGAATCCACCACAAGATGAGCATGCGTAACATGAATTGCAACTTAGTTGCTCAATTTCCGAAGAGTTCCAAGATAGGTTCGATCTGCAATAGACAACCTCCTAGATACACATGTCTATCCCAGGAGCATCATCTTTGGCGGCAGAGAAACCAAGTGGAAATTCAGCAATTGGCCAAGCTGATTGGCTGCTATCCCGAGGAAATAGATGGCTTTCTTTACAAACTCAGTCTGGAGAACTACAGTCACCAATTAAATCCCAAAGGCTGTGGATGGAATTCCTGCAATGTGCCACTTTGTTATCCTTGTGTCTGTGATCGCTACATGGCCATTTTCGATCATCGTGGCAACTTAAGGAACTCCATCCGTCCGAAGAGTCTTAATGGTTTAGTTTCGTTAATTTTGGATTTTTTGAATGAAGATTCGCCTGGTGGCCGAAAGGATTCCCAGTCATATCCTTACGGCCATCAAGCGAAATCGCATTCAAAAACTTTTTCCATGAGAGATGACATTTCAAGCCTGGGTTCGGAATACAGCGATATCCAAAGTGTGAGATCTTTAAATTGGCATACCAAGATTACAAGGAGTCTAAAGAACAGCATTACACCTGTACAATTAGAGCCCTTGATGTGGAAGCTTCCAGAATTAGAATCTGAGGAGGATTTGCGTCAAGAAAAGAAAAAGAAAACCTTTGGACGAAAGTCTGTGTTCCTCAACGATGAACTTGCCTTGGCTTATGCCAAGCCAGATGATTATGTGGAGTATCTAATGAAAACCCTGGGTCGACATCGCATTAGGGGTAGCTATGTGGGTCCTGTGGGACAGTTAAGAACATTACGTATTCGTCTCCTACTTCAAAAGCTAGTTGAACAGAAGGGAACTAATATAACTGAAGAGGATTTAAATAAGGCCCTTAAGAAGGTGGATCTTGAGTGGAAAAAGACTGCGAAGGCGGATTATAAACGTGAGAAGAAAACAGCCGAGGAGATCTCGAGGCTCTACAACGTCATTGTTCAGAGATGGTCAGAGCGTCCAATACCACCTGTTCTGGGAAAAGTTAGAGGCAATTACCCAAAGGTTCCAAAAGCTGCAAAGCTTCCCAGAAAATACTTGGGCAATCAAGTCCCCATACTGTTCCATGAGCCCTTTGATTCAAAAAAGCCTTGGACCTGGCAACGCCGACATCCAAGACAAACTCGGCTAAATTCCAAATACAAATTCTCAACATCAAGGATCAAACGATATTTGCGCAGTTCCTTGAAGGATCAAATAGATGAGGCGTCGGATCGGTATTCAATTCACTCGACAATCAGTGACAAAGGTAGACCCGGGGAACGAGAGTCGATGGAACCCTTGTTTGGAGGTCCAAAAGTATAGTCAAAATTTTAGCAAAGGTTATAAATTACATTTTGTGATGCAATAAATTCGTAACAGTAACTTGATGTTATCTTATGATACTTTGTTTTTACTATTAGTTGGAACCCCTGTTTGGAAAACCCAAAAGTTAACCAAAGGTTAAAAATTATAATTAGTGAACTAAATACAAAACATTTTCAATGTACACTTTCAATCTAATATAGTTATCCCTTGATCTTTTGCTCTCCCCAGTTGGAAAAACCTTGCTTGAATGTCTTAGCCTTTAATTAAAATTTAACCAAGGGTTAAATATTTTATTTTGTGACTTGAATATTCCGTCAATTGGAATATTCCCAGTATGCTACGGAATATATTTTATTTTCTATATAAAATGCCATTCTAAATTATTGCCTCAACTTGGAAGCTTCAAAATTGTTCAAAACACCTTTTTTTCGGATCCTCAAGACGGTCAGGCCAAAATGAATTCCTGCTGCTGCAGATCGCACAGCGATCGCACGAATCCGATGGCCTGTCTTCCGCAGTTTCCACGTCTTCAGAGGGTTCAAAGTTGTAGACCTTTTTTGGAGGGTCGTAAGGCCGCCAGTTCTTGTATTTCGAGCGAGAGGCGATGGGGTCAGAGGAACGGGGGAATGATCAACTTGCTGGCCAATATGGTGGGCAAATCGACCAGCACCGTCTGCCAGTTCCTTCATCAACTTACCTTGCAACTCTTCGCGAAAATCCTGTATCCCTTAATGTTGGGTTGGAATACCCTCAAGATACCATTCGTTCTGCCCGATACGTGTGAGCTTTACTACGGGATATTCGACGAGTGTGGAAATTTGAGAAAGCCTATCCCCACGAGGACGTTGGTCATTCTCATCTCCATGATGCAGTACTTTTTGAACTTACCCAAGGGATGCAGGCGAAATAACAAGTGTCAAGGATGCAGAAATAAGGAAGATGATCTCAAGAATATTCACAATCCTGGTTATTGTGGCAAGAATGCCATGATACCGTTCTCAGAACATAATGTGATCGCAGGAAAAGCTAAATCGCCGGCAAGCGAAGTGTGGGCAGGACTCAGGCGATTGGGATACGAAAGACGTGGCGATCTAGAGAGCTATCCCTCGGATGAGTCTATACCATATGGCTATGCACCTGCGAGATGTCCCTGCCAGTCTGGCTATTATAATGATCAGAGGCCCGGAAGGGTGCTTACGAATCCATATGCTAATATGTCGATGGAGATGAAAACTTTGGCCTGTGAAGAGGAACTGCGAAGTCCCATGTTGGCACCCGATTGCATTCCGAGTTCTCCAGTGGCAAACCTATCACCCAAAGCAGCTCAACTTTATCACATCACTCACATCTCGGATCTTTATGCTGCAGTTGTACAAAACCAACATTCAAGGAGATTACTTGGAGATGGAAAACCACCAAAACCGAGGGTAAGACCCTGCACTGAGAACCAACGTAGATTCTCCGGTGGTTTCATGATGCCCGAACCATATTTCAATGGAATGCCCTGGAGTTGGCTACACAGAGATCCTCAGAAAATGGTACGATTACCAAGTGGAGGTCTCCCATTGGAAATCCCTCGTTATAGAAGACAACCCTTGGATGAAGAGTACCAAAGTTTCAGAAATAAATATGAGAATCTAAGCAGAAAGGTTAACCCTTTCAAGGAAAGCAGTCTCTTGCCCATTGAGAGTTTCCCACAAAAAAGACTTCAACCCATTAGTTGGGATAAAAAGAACATGGATCTGGAAAAGCTTCCCATAAATCTTCCTTTTAAAGAAAAAAGGAAATTGGAGTGGGAGGAGCTCTTGTTGAGAAGAGCTAATGAGGCTAGGAAA